GCGCTGTGGTTTGTGGTGCGACAGGAGATATTTGAGCCAGGCGACCCCAATCCCATCCAGATCGGGACCATCAACAACACCAGCAATGGGTCAAAGGCCGACCATACCGGGCACGCGGATACTCCCTTGCCCGGGGTATATCCAGGATGGGGCCTACCATTCCCGAAGACGTCGACGGAGATGTCTATATGGAGCCGCCGATGATTGCCGTCGCAGCCCAGAGTTCATCATCAGCAAGCGGATCGGCAGCGCCAGCCGCACCGCCCCCATCACCGGACAGCTTCGCGCAGGGAGCGAGCTCTGCGCCATCATCCCCGATGACGGTTCACAGTTCCTCGTCAGCCAGTGTGGTTTCGTGGAATGGATCGACGCCAACGGTTTCGCCATCGGAGATGAACGCATGTGTGGCCGCCGAGCACAACATACGTGTGGGACACAACACTCATAGTGTCTACATAACCTGCAGGACGTGCAGGGAGCATGCGTCATGGCTTCGCAGGAATCACATGACCCATGAGCCAGACTTTTCGAGGATGCACAATAGTCTGCGCTGGGACTGACAGAATAGATGGAGGCAGCTACAAGGGTTGCCCGGCAAGGCGAAAGCTCAAAAGAAGATTTCGTGACGCACGCCGCCGCTCTATAACTGGCGCCACACTGTGTGGCAGATTACGTTAGTCCGCGTCGTTCTGTCAGCTCGTTTTCTTTACGCCTGGCGCCACATCGTGTGGCAGACTACGTAAGTCCGAATTGTCTTACCAGCTCGTTTTCTTTACATTTGGCGCCACATCCTGTGGCAGATTACGCTAGTCCGCATTGTTCGAAGCTTCATTCAGTGTGCACAGTTTTTTTCTTATGTGGTGACGACCACACTATTGAGATTTTATCTTGATAAGATAGCGCTATTTGAGTTTTGTCGCATAGCGATCGGACTCGCGCTGCTGTTCGCTTTGAGAATTTATGTATTTCTTGCCGGTGCGTGTAGCAGCATCCGTTAAATGCCCTGGGGCAGCCGGATAGCATGCCGACAAGGCCGTTTGCCTGTGTTTGTTTTGGAGTGCTCTGATTAATGAAGTGAGCTGCGATCGATGATCGTCGCTCGACGGCGCCGCGAGCGTCAATCAGGAGGAGTGTGATTCCCGCTCACTCCCCGTGCCTTTCCTGCTCCTTCCTAGCTTCCCCGCGCTATCTCTCACGCCCGCCTTGTCGCCGCCATTTTGTTTCAAACTAGGGCCCTTGGCCTTAGAGCTACGCAGAGAGTTTCGCCGCGCGATTCCTCGACAAACGATATCAGCGATATCCATATCACAACTGACGATAAATTGCTTGAGAATGTGCGACTTTTGCCTGCTCCATCAGCGGCTTATGACGCTTGCTCTACTAGGTCCTCTCCCCCTCCCACCCATTGCATCTTGGCCCATGCACCCCCCCTCCAGCACCCGGGTCGGCTTGGCATCCATGGCGAGACGGTGCTCTCGGCAACATCTCAAAATGCGCGCAGAGGTGTTGGTGTGACTGCTCGAACAGTCCTGCAACATGTGGGCGTAATGGGCGCGCTCATGATGGCGGTGCGCGAATATCAGCTAAATTTCTGGTCGCATATAGCGCGCGAGCTCCACGCCGGAAGCTCTGCGATTAATGTCGACGACAGCTCTCGCGGCGCGCGCAAACGAGCCCGCGCGCGCAAGTTCTCGATGCCCCTGATGTGCTGTGATGCGTGCGTGCCGCCCGCCTATCACGAAGTACTCGCCCGCGCGCCTCTCCCCCAGAATTTAGAGACTCATAGCGAAACGCCCCCTCCGCCTCCTCATCGAGAACGGCTCATGGAACCTTTTCTGCCTTGAGGAAATCAGCTAGGGGAACTTGGGTGCCTAAAGTGCGAGAGCGAAGTTGGCGACTATCGATGCGATTGAAAGCTCCACTAAACTCTGGATCTAAAAACGCATGAAGGTTCGACCTCCCAAATCTTCAATAAAAGGATGCCCCAGTGTCAAGATCAATCAAGGCCTGAAGATCTTCGCGTACCTGCTGAGCCCATGGGGGGGCCTTCGAAGTGAGATGCCTGCCGTCGAACGCAGGAGGGGCACATTCAAGCTATCTGGATGAGGCAGTGGGAACTTGTTAATTCACCAGCGGTGCACGAGCCAAGGACTGCCGATATCGCAAGCGACGGACGGGGAGCTCCGCGCACAACGGCACGAGCCGCCACCGCTGAAGAGCAGCTGCAGAGGTCATAGATCTGGGATGTCGAGGTGCCTCTCGATCGCGCGCCCTCCCACCCATCGCCCTTTTAGCGTATCCCGCCACCATATGAATCAACTTAACAAGTTCAGCTTCACTAGTCAAAAAGCCCTCTTACCCAGACAGTGCAGTATTGTATATTTTGGATATGGCAATGCAGCGAGGAGGCCGATGAGGAAGTCCAAGAACACGCCAGAAACTTCCGGGATAATAACATGCACGCTGTGCTGCTACAAGTGCCTGCTGCTGCTGCTGGCACTCATGCCGCCGCTGTCGTTGATTCGTTTTGGACAGGTTTTGAAACGCGCTGCTACCTCCTCCTCCTCCGCCTCCGTCGCTCCCTGAAGCCGCCGTCTAACTTGGCGCCGTTCAGCCAGAAGGGCCTCGCGGGCCCCTCGGAGCCTTCGACGCTCGTCACTCGTAAACTGAAGTGGTGTAGCCATTGTATTTTCCACTTCAGTCAACAGCTCGTTCATGCGATTAAAGAACTCAAGCTTCTCAGCTTCCGTTTGCAGTCGCGTGCGAAGTGCTTCCAAAAACTCTCGTCGGCGTTCACCACTTCTAACACACCTTATACTAATATCAAAATTCCACGTCGTCTTCTCCTTCCACTCGTCGGGTGCCCCCCCCAGGCGCGAGTGCACATGGAAAGCCAACGTGGACAACCATATGATCGCAAGGCCGAGCTTTCGGGATGTTCTGACGATTTCTACTGGGTCGCCGAAGAAGACCGGCCGTCTTCATCACCTGCAACACGGGCCGCGGTGACCGCGTGAACCCTATCATCGACCAGTGTTCCGTCGTCGAATAAAAGGTTGGCGTCGTTTCCCGAACGCAATTGGCAGCCTGCAAATGATGTTGACGCAAAATCGGTCCCATCAGAGCTCCAGCATAATATACAGACGTCGCCGTCTTCGGCGGTGCCACATTCTGATCCACATAATGCTATCCTCCTGCTCGCCTCGAACTCTGCCTAGACCACCATTAGTATCACAGCAACAGATAGGCGTCGTTCGTGATGGGAGTGGAGATAGACACGTGGCAATCCACTTAACCAAGCGATCACACGTGATACGATAACACTCCTGTGCTTCCAATTCTTGCAGCCGAGGAGGAACATAAGCAACAATCGCCGTCGCATCCAGCTCAGTGTAGCTACATTATCGGATGACGCCACATAGCGTTGCACCTGTGCCCAGTGGCTGAGGAGGAGGAGGAGGACGAGGAGGAACAGGAGGAAGAGGAGGAGGAGGAGGAGGAGATGATGATGATGAGGAGGAGGAGGAGGAGATGATGATGATGATGATGATGAGGAGGAGGAGGAGGAGGAGGAGGAGGAGGAGGAGGAGGAGGAGGAGGAGGAGGAGGATGAGGACGAGGAGGCGAAGGAGGAGGGGGGCGAGGTAAGGAGGGTGGAGGGGTGGGAGGAGGGGGGGGAGAAAGGTGAGGAGGAGGAGGGGGATGAAAAAGACGGAGACATTAACGTCGGGGGGCCCTCGTGGGCACGGCTGGTCGCAGATCGAAAACGAATCGGAATGGAATGGTGCCTGGGAAGTATCAGGGAAGGGGGAAAAGCTGGTCGGATCTGCTGCAGCTGCAAGGGACGGCAATGTTGCACGCGAGCGCTCGGCAAGGAACGACACCAACCGCGCCCTCCCTCTTAGGCGGGACCCAGGTGGCACTGCCAACGCGCCGGACACGCCGCCTCCGGCTCGCGTGCAAGCGGCCTCGGGCCCGAGGGGGGGGGGGAAGGGGAGCGCACTCCGCGCCACAGCCCAGTTGGGCGCCCAGATAAGCCGTGCGGCGGCGGCCCCCTCTCGAAGAAGGGACAGAGGCACAAGAGAAATGTTTGGAAGTTTCTCCTCCTCCTCCTTCACCTCCTCCAGCTCTTCCTCCTCCAGAAGTCTCCAGGGTCTCTGGAAGTCTCTGGATGTCCCCTAGGAACGCTCTGCAATTCCCTGGGTGCCTCTGGAGATTCCCTATTTGTCCAAAACGTCTAAACTCTTCGAGCCTCAATAAATTACCCATAGCTCCTCTTCTGCCTCCTCCTCCTCCTCCCCTTCATTTTCCTCCTCCTCCTCCTCTTCCTCCTTTCCTTTCCTCCCCCTCTTACTCCACCCTCCTCTCCTCCTCCTCCTCCTCCTCCTCCTCCTCCTCCTCCTTCTCATCCACTCCTGCTACATCCTCCTCCTCCTCTTCCTCCTGGTCCTTGCTCAATTGTTGCTCACCGCTCCTCTTCCGCGCCCTCCTCCTCCTCCTCCTCCTCTTCCTTCCGTCCTACTCTTACTCCACCCTCTCTCTCATCCTCCACTTCCTCCTCCTCCTCCTCCTTCTCATCCACTCCTGCTACCTCCTCCTCCTGCTCCTGGCTCAGTGTTTGCTCATGGCTCCTTTTCCGCCTTCTCCTCCTCCTCCTCCTCCTCCTCCTCTTCCTCTTCCTCCTCATTCTAGGTGCCAATGGGTGCATGTCAGGGTCGTTCTCCCATTCTGGGACGTTGCAAATTATCATCGCCCACTGAAGGGGCTGCCCCACTTTTGGATGCCACTCCTGTATTTTCGGAATGTCGAAGAGTGATAAACATAGGATCCCCCTGGCGATCACCCCGCGCGACAGGCTACGAATATGGGTTACTCCCGAGCGAAGGGTGTTCCCCACTTGTCAGCGCCTATGTTAACAACATGCGTGTGAAATGGTGACCCGCTAAGTCGACCTGGCAGACTGGTCAATGATCCTCCCTCTCCCCCTCGAGCGGGAGCGCGTGGTCGCGAAGCGGTTGGCCAGCTCGCTCGCCTTGGACCCGTCGCCTGTCGGGGGCCCGCGGCTCTGCTCGGCCAGGCTGCAGTCCCCCCCCTTCTTCTCGTCCTCACGTGTTGCTCCTTCTCCTGCCCCCCGCCCGCGGCCATGGCGGGCACGGCGGCTCTGCGGGGGCGTCCCGCAGCCAAAGCTAATCCGTCATCCCCTGCCTGGGCCAGCCTCCTGCTGAGGCCAACTCAAGCCGCCCGACCGCCCGCTGCGCCGGCCGGCCGGCTCGCCTCGCCGATCACTGCGCCAGTCGGCCGGCCGTGGACGCAACGAGTGTTCGCCGAGGCGGGGAGGGGGAGGAGCGGGGGAGGTTGGGAAAAGAGCTGGTCAATTTTGCCCCCGCCGCCGATCCTGGCCCTCGAAGGCCCCCGGAGGCCCCCAGAAACCTCGGAGGCCCGGCAGGGCCAAGGGCATTCGAGGACACCCGGACACCCCTTCGATCCTCGAGGGTCGAGGGCAAGATTTGGCAGGATCGAAAGCCCCTCCCGCTCGCCCTCTCCTCCCTGCGAGCGCTCGCATGCGCCCGCACGGGAGGAGAGAGGCGCAGAGGGTTCGGGGAGACGCGCGGGCGACGCCAGGCCGCCTTCTCGGCGGGAGAAGCGCAGATGCGCCTGGAAGTTTTTATTCGAGCGGCCGCTGCCAGAAGCGGCCCTGGCCCGAGGAGGAAGGGGGGAGGAGGTAGAAGGAGGGGGAAGAACCCGCGCCTCGAGGAGAGCCCCCCCTCCGCCACTCTGGGCGCCGCGGGCGGTGGGGCCCGGGCCACTCGGGGGCAGACCGGTCTCGCCTTGCAATTCGTAGGAGTCGTCGCAGAAGCCGGCGCCCGCAGTAGCGGCGACGGCGACGGCAGAGCCGTCGGGGTTGGCGACGGCGTTGCCGTCCAGGTCCTTCAAGGTCTCGAAGGTCGATCAGGCCGCAACGATGTCTATGGTGGCCACCTGCGCATCCATCGGAGTAGCATTACCATCGGCTCCGTCTTCAGCCTGCACCAGCACCATCGCATGCTGGCCCATCGTATCACTGAGAAACCCAATATCGTCCGCTCTGACGGCTTGCATCAAGATCTCCACATGCATGTCCATTGTGTCCGCCAGCGAGGTGTCGTCGGTCGGATCAGCCAAGACTGCCGTCATCAGCATGTTTCGCGTACCATTCTGTGACATGGGTAAACTGCCATGACCAGACAGGAAAAAACGACCGCCAGCTTAAACATCACTGCCGCTGCCCATCGTCGCATGCCCAGAAGGGAGTGGCGGAAAAACTCCAGCGGGGCCAAAGGCAGCAGCAGGAGAGGCAACACCCAGTTGTGTCCTCCGCATATGGGCCGCCATGCGGTTCTGCATCAGAGGCGTTGAAATCGACAGTTATAAATGCATCAAACCCATCGAAGCTAACACCCTTGTCATAGACGAGCTCATCTGACTCCCTGGGGCCGATGTGATTGTCCCAACCAGGATAACATGCACAACAGGAACTCAGGCACAACAGCTCCAGTTCAACATTCTCGAACAGGCCGTAGGGATACATATTGGGCTCCGCTTGCTTGTCCAAAAACTCACGGACGTCCAGCTTGCCCTCAGGAGATATACTTCCCACTTGTGCCCGTTCCTTTGCAACCGCCTCCTGCTGCACAGCTGCCTCAGCCGAGTCTGCACCCGATCGATACTTGTCCATGGCCGCTTCCAACTCCATCTTGCGGCGAGCCACCGTATCTGATTGCCTTTTCCTCGGCCTTTTGTGCTTGCTCGACTGTCTTGGTAGCCTGTGCAAGTCGAAGTGATGCCGGCTTTGGTACAACTGTTGGCATGGGAGGGGCCAAGGCTGCTGCCAACGCCTTCGCATAATCAGTTCCTGGACCTCCCTGGGCTGCAAGCGCCGACAAGAATTCTAACCCATCACATTTCGCACATTGACTGCCGTAGCCATTCGAACTCTCACCGTGCGATTTCCACTCCGAATTGTACCATCATAGTTGTTTCTCCCCTTGAGGGCACGTCAACAAAACTGATAAGTCCAATCACAGTACTCTAGCAAATCCTTGTAGCAGAACTCCCCGCATGTCTTGTACCAAGTAGCTGGATGACTGGGCTTCGGCTGCTCGGTCAGGGAGCGAACGGCTGTACTCTAGCTGGGGGAAGAACAGCTGACCACGTAGGTACATCGCGCCTGCCTGCTCCCAAAGAACGCCACTGACCATCATCATTGTGCACCGGCTTCGACTGATGCCACGGAGCTGCATTTCGCCACTGAAGTCACGGAGTCGCGCCGACGAATTGTCGTCCTCATTTCCCCATGGATGGTGCGGTCCACGAGGTGGGGACCACCAAGCCAACAGGGGGCAACCTGTGGTGATCAGGAGCCTGAACAATATGAACAGTGTGACGCGAACTAGCGGTATCCTCGTCGTTTCCGAGGAAGCAATCATATTGAACCAAACTGGCTCCGGAGGGAAGAAGGGGAGGAGGAAGAGGAGTAGTAGGAGGAGAAGAACGATGAGGAGGTGGATGAGGAAGGGGAGGAGGAAGAGGAAGAGGACCAGTGCAAACCCAAGGCTCAACAAAGATGTTGCAACACACCATCCCTTCAACTTCCCTCTTCATAGGCCCAATACAAGAATTTTTTCCACTTAGGGAAGTGCCCCGTTGGAGGACAATCGTGTGACAATCGTGAACCGTACCGAAACACCTATTTTGGGCCTTCAGCGCCGCGTATCAACGTTACCCTTGCGTCCTGTTCCTGAATCTTGCCAGAACACCATCTTTGGGACTTCAACACCGCGAATCAACGCAACTGTTGCGCCCTGGTTGTCCTACATCGTGCCGGAACATCATTTCTGCTACGCCAGCCATGAGAATCTTTGAATCTGCCGTAAACTCCTAAGACGAATGTGCGCGGTGCTAAAGCGAAAACCACATTTGAAACAAAAACCCTCCATCCGTGAAGCTCTCGCGACTGATAGAGACGAGCGTGCGCATGGCTAAGGCGAGAGCCACGTTTTGAAAAAGAATCCCTCCATGATGAATCTCCTGCGAACCTTTAGAAAGAATGTGCGCGGCGCTAGAGCGAGAACCACATTTTAAAAACGTCCCGCCCTCCATCCGTGAAGTTCTCGCAAACTTTGACAACGAACGTGCGCAACGCTAAGGCGATAACCCCATTTTGAAAACGGGCCGCCCTTCATCCGTGAAGCTCCTGCAAATCCTCAGCTTCAAGATGAAAAGTGCTGAGACGTCTCCAGCGAAACGCCCGGCCCGCCCCACTCGCGGTGCGACAGGGAGGAGTTACTTACAAAGAAGAACAAAAGAGGAGGAGGAGGAGGAAGAGGAGGAGGAGGAGGAGGAGGAAGAGGCGGAAAAAAAGGATAACAAAAACGGGCGGAGGACGCGGAGGGGAAGGAAGGAAAGGATCAACCGCGCCCCTTGTTGGAAACGAGTGTTGACTAGCCGAAGCATTTCTCCAGGCAAAGACTGGAGAAATCGAAACAGGGAGATGTAGGACGAGGAGGAGCTATATTAATAAGAGAGGAGCAGAGAACGACGAAGAAGAGGAGGATCAGGAGAGGGATGAATCTGATAATGGTGATGATGATGACGATGCTGACGATGCGGATGCTGATGATAATGATGATGCTGGCGATGCTGCTGATGGTGATGATGAGACTGGTGATGCTGGCGCTAATGATGATAATGCTGATGATGATGTGGATGATGGTGATGATGACAAGGAGTATGATGATGAGGGTGTATATGATTAGGATGAAATTGGGACTCGTCGTGCCCCAGATGACGACCTTCCCGGTGTGGTGCTACCGCGCAACATGCCAAATGTATTACATTCGCCGAGCACCGCATGCGAACGTGACAAGTTGTGTGCGACATTTGGCTGTCCCCTTCCTCCTTCCCCCCTCCCAGGGAACCCGCAGTCCAGTTCAACATTGGGGGAGGAAAGCGCCGCACAATACTGCCCCCGAGACCTCCAACGTGCCGCCAAAAGGTCAGTAGGAGCCGGCTAAAAAACACCAAAACGTCCGCAGGAACCTTCGAAAGCCCCCACGCCTTCCCAATAGACCTCCAAGAACCCAGCTCTGTACGCCAATTAACTTTCAAAATGCCTCGTCGTCGCGCCATCCTCATCATCCTCCGTCTCCTCCTCCTCTGGGGGTCGGCGGAATGGCGCAAGCCACTTGAATCATGATATGGTGTATGAGCCACGCCAAGAACTTCCGGACGATGCCCCCTGCAACTCCCAGGGTCTTTTCAAGGGTCCGAGGGGCTCCCTGGAGGAATCCCACAGGTCGTCCAAGGCACCCCAAAGATTTCTTCAGGAGTCCCTGGGATTTCCCTGAAAATCTCCAGAACTTCCTTAGGATCCCCATCAGATTATGAAGGAGTTTGAAAGAATCCATCAATCATCTCAACGATCCCCGGAGGAATCCCTAAGAAGTCTTGTGGGATCCAGAACTGCCCCGGTGACCCTTAGCAATTAGCCGTTCCTTCAGGAATCTGGCAGAAATGCGGCGTCCCAAAGCATACCCTATCCCCAAACAATTCCGAAAAGAACATGACACGTGTCTGCGGAATCCTGATGCCCCCCGGTGATCCGGAGGATTTCCGCAGGCATCGTATAGGAGTCAATGGTGTGCATTTCGCGGCAGAATCCGCCCTCCAGAGGCGCCACCTATCGAGGAGCGACCCCCCTCGCCGATTGCCTTCCTCCTCCTCTTCCTCCCCTTTTTGCCTCCTGGTTCACCTTCTGCGTCTTCCTTCTCATCCACCATCCTTCTTTGCTTCGTCCCGATCCTCTTGCCTTTTCATCCCTCCTCCCTCCTCCCTCCTTTCTCATACCCCCTTTTCACTCGCCCTCTCCCTCCCTCGATACAAAGAATTACTAAAGTAAGCCATGACGTTCCCCGGTAAACTGGGTATTCCCCCGGCGTCCAATATTCTCGAGACTGACAGGCTTCTGAAAACTTCTGAAAGGCTTCGGAGAGTTCCAGATAGGCTTCGGAAAACAGAAGCTTCTGACAGGCTTCTGAGAGCGCATGAATGGCCCATGATAGGCTCCCAAAAGGCTTCTGGGAGGCTTCCGAGAGGTAGAACGAACGAACGAACGAAGCTGCCGTCGCCGGGAAGGGCCGGCGTCCCTGCAAGGGAGGCAGGCGCGCCTGTAGCGCGCTGGCCCTGCGAGAGGTAGAGGCTTCTGAAAAACTTCTGAACGGATTCTGGAGGGCTCCTAACAATTCCTGGGAGGCCTCCGAGGAGCTTCCGGGAGACTTCTGGGAGACTTCCAGGTGTCTTCTGGGAGGGAACGTTGATGCTGGTGGTAATGTGATGCTGGTGTTAATGGTGGTGTTAAGCGTGGTGTTGTTGACGATAACGATGCTGATGACAATGATGATGTTGGCGTTCGTGGCGAATTCGATGGTGAAACGTCGACAATTCTCACGGTGATGGTGATGTTGATTGCGATGACTCTGGTGATTGGAATGATAATGTCGGACATTATCTGCTCATTGGTGGGGTTGGTGGCGTGCATGACGATGGCGGTGTTCAGGGTGATACCCGCAGTGACGATGAGGTTGGTGTTGATGTGGAGTTTGGTGGGCATGTGGCTGAGATTGATTGGTGATGATAATCCTGTAGTAATGCTGTGAATGCTGGCAATGGCCTTGGCGATTGCAACGATAACGATGATGCTGTTGATGTTGTTGGCAGTTCGGGTGGTCATGCAGTTTGTGATGCCAATGACGCTGGTGAGGGCGCTTGTGTTGCATGTGAAGGTAAGAATGATGACGGAAATGCATGATATCTTGACGAAAATCGTCATGATGCTGATAAATGTTCGCGATTGTTAAAACGCTGGTTCTGATGGTGATGTTGATGGACATCATGGTGTTGACCGCGATGCTGGTGATGATGATACATGTGTGCCTGGTGGTTTTAATCATGACTGCGGTGTTGATGATGATGGAGGGATGCTCATGATGGGCACGTTTGGGGCCAATGGAGATGTGTATTGGTGGTATTCTTGGTGTTCATGATGACGATGCTTACGATGGTGATGTTGGCGATGTCATCGGCCATGGATCCACGATGGGCCTTTCCCCAGCGTGCTTTCTCGGAAACCGACTGGTCGCAAGTAAGCCTGTCAATTTGCTTTCGATGACCTTCAACGACGACCCCGCGAGCCATTCGCAAAAGACGCGGCGACGGAATGGGACTTTCCCCGGCGCCGCCAGGGAAAGGTCCAGTCTACCGGGAAAGGATCAGAAGCTCCCTCTCCCTCTTCCCTCTCTTCCCTCTCTTTCTCCCCCTCCTCCTCTTCTTCCTCCTCCTCCTCTTCCTCCTCCTCCTCCTCCTCCTCCTCCCTCTCCTCTCGTCTCCTTCCCTTACTCCTTCTTCCCCCCCCCCTCCCCCTCCCAATCCCTCAATATCCTCCACTCCCATTCTTCTCGACCCCGTCATCGTCGTTGTCGTCGTCGTCCTCATCCTGCTCTAGCCTGGCGCCCTCCGACAAGCCTGGCCGGTAGTAGCGCAGCTCGAACGGGCCGCCGTTCGGCTTCGGGCGATGGGATGCGGAGAAGGAAGGGAAGAAACATGAGGATGAAGAGGTAGGGGATGGGATTGAGAACGGGGGGCGGCGGAGGAGGAGAAGTTGCGAAGGGGGAGGAGACGGCGGGTGGTGGAGAAAAG